GTCAGAAGCCAAAGGGCCTGATGCAACGGAATTCTGTTATAAGAGGCTTATTATCAAGGAACAAGGTATCTTCGAACCACTTGCACAATCTGCACTCTTAGCCTTCGTCTTGCCTTTGCTTCTCACACAGAATACTGACTTAATCGTCGTAGCGTTCCCGCCGGGCAAACCCCTCGGGGATTCTTCTTCTTCCTCTTCGTTTTAGGTACCTCTCAGGAGCCACGTGAATGCCGGATAGGAATGACCGAATCGCACTACATCAGATACAATATAATTTTCAATCACCTTATACATGTATGGAATCCGTGGCAGGTTGAGTAACAACCACCCATAGACACTTATACTTGTGAGTATTATAACCCAACCCACACCAACTCTCACTCACTTTTATCTGCCCATAGTGATCTGCTTATCCAAAGCATATGGTTAAAGTTCAAATTTAACTCAATTTAAGTCCTCACAACCTTTTATAGAAAAACAAAGTTCACGATCCAGTGATACCCTCACCCTGATCCTTACGGGTACTTACCCATTCCAAAATTCCGCTGAGACTATCCTGTTAATGTACCAACTGGTCACCACTCGTTGGTATTGGTGAGTTTTCAAGTGGGTGGGTAAAATGGGTTGGATCAAAATTGCCGGCCGTAATGTATTGGAGTTTCACGGGATTTATATTAAACCCATGCTGACCATTTGAACAGTAATCCCTGTTTGCCAGACCGCCGGTTCATACCAATTTGTCAGACCCGGGGTTTGGCGTAAAACGGAAAAGTAGGCCCACCGATTCACTGGTTTAGCAATTTAGACTATTTGGTTGTTAAAACCCATAAAATCCGTCAAATAACAGGCTTGATAATATTATTGGGTCACCGGTTTCACCATTCTTCCGGTTTTGACATGAAACCGGAAGAGTAACCGATTTTTCTCTTCACCGGCTCCGTTTGAATCATCCCTTTTGGGCTTTTGGCCTTTTCCTTCTATCCACTTCAATCTGATAAAGTTTTCCTCGTCTTCGAGACTTTTTACTGTCGGTCTGTCGTTCCTCCACAAATATCCCAAGTCCTGCCATCATAATTCACCATCCTCACTCACCCAAACAGTAGATATTGGCGGGTAATCGATAACACAGAGAGAGAGAGAGAGAGGTATGGAGATTTCTGCAGTGGGCGTTGGGTTTCAGCATTACCACATTCGCCTGTCGCCCATAATCAACTCTCATGCCACCACCAGCAACTATGACAATGCCAAGAAAAATCGTCAACTCGTCTGTGCTAGCGCTACTCTCAGTGAGTTGGATATGCAACCTGCTCACGTCTCCCCTGCTTCCACAACAGTCAGAAAGACCAACTCGACACTCTACTCGGCTAGACGAGCTGCGGTAGTCGATGTACAGAACTGTACCGATTTGGATTCTGCACTAGCAAGGTTCTCTCCATTTAATTTGAACCAACATATCTATTATATTTTGGGTTCCATTGCTGGGTTGGTTTTTTATAATTTTCGGAACATAGTTTTGCCAAGTTCAACATTACAGTTCTATTTAGTTATTTCACTAATTGTTTCTTCTTTGACTAATCTACATAGACTGAACGGATTGGTAAATTTTACAAACATTTCCTGTGCACGACAAGGATTTCAATTTCACTTGCTAATTTATGCTTTCATAACTTGCTTCATCACCTGCGTTCTTAATCTTTATATCCGGTGGATAAGATAGAGATGCTTGAGAAGATGGTTACTCGATGGTTTCTTAATCTTTTTATACCCTGCGTTCTTAATCATTATACCCGGTGACATCCATTTTGTCTTTGTTTCTTTTACCTTTTCCCCTTCTTTTTCTTTATATAGGAAGAGGGAAATATACATTTTGGTTGCATGAGTAATTTTTCATATTTAGGTTAGGAAGGTAAGTTTGTGTTCCAAATACCTTTTTTTTTTTTTTAATTTTGTTTTGAAATAGTTTCTCAACCTTGATTGAAGTGGAAATTTCAATATTTTGAAAATGGGAAGTGCAGTGGTGAATTTTGAGATGGCATATAGTTTTCCAGTTCAAGGGTTTAGGGAACTAGATTCTTCTTTTGTATAACTTAAAAAATTGTTAATTTGCTTACGTCTAACAGCCAAAATAGTACAAAATGACAATACAAATGGAGCGTGACAAGGAACCAGGTTTATAGCTTTATCCGTTCGGCATTCAAAATAATGTCCTTATTATTGTGATTTAAGTCAACATATATCCTGTTTCCACCAAAAGTAAACTAGTTTACCATGTAATTTCCTAGTTTCTTGAAATATTTTGCAAAAATATTGACTTATTTTAGCAGAGACATTGGCAATATTCTGTTGAAATTATGTAATCCTAGGAATTCAGCAAGTTTGGTGACTCCCTTTAAGTGTGATACCTTGTGAGAAATATCAGCAAGTTTCCAAGGAATTGATCAATAAAGAAAGCAAAAATTGAGAACCATGGGGAAGAAAAAAACTCTTAAGTAATCTAGCACCTACAGACATGTTTCAGTATAATTTATGCAGGTTCCAAGCAACTTGTTGTGCTTTTGACTGTAAATTTTATTTGGACCACATGTTAGAAGTTATTAGATGTCTCAATATGTTTAACTGCATTTTCTATTTGTGTACCTTATAATCAGTTTCTCTTGATATTATAGTAATTCTTATTCAACTTATTTGAATATTTGAAAATTAATTTCCTATCTTCTGTTTTACTTGTGATTATTCTTTATATATGATAGTCTCTAACTGTTTTAAGCATCAGAGAATTGAGACACTTCATTGAACTACAGGTCAGGAGAGATATTGCAAGTGCAGGATTTGAATGTTATTTTGCGTCATTTTGGAAAGCTAGACAGATGGCAGTATGTCTCTCAGGTGCCTGTTCTTGAAAGCTGCCTTACTTTTGTTGATAGACCAGCATACTAAATATTGATGCTTCTAATTATTGAATCCATGCTTCATTTGTCAATTTGGCATATTGGTATTTTATTGTTTGGAGAATTTTTTAGAAAGTTACCTATCTCATTGCAATGTTGAAAACCAAAATCTCTTATATGGAACTATAGTTTTTCGTGGACGAAGTCATTGTTGACAATTTTGATTGGATACTTTGAACACTCAACTACTGAACTAAAATTTGGCAGAATACCTACTTACTGATAAAGAAGTTGAAAAGAAGAATAAATTTCTATAGTGATGCCCCTATATATCCCATCAAGATAGAACATTACTTGAAACCTTTCCAGTGGAGCACATAATTTAAGAATATGGATTTATTTATCAGCCTTTTTTTTTCCTTTGCGTGTTTCTTTGATACACTCTGGGCCAAAAATTTCTATATGTTCTTAGCTTTTCACGTTTCTAAATTTCTTTTTCTTTTCTTTTTTGATGCATCAGTACTACTGCTTCTTTACCAGCCTTTTGTCTCTTTGTTTTGTATAATTTCCTTATTTCCAGTTTCTGTAGTTGCTGATAATGACTGTCATGACATATATGGGTGGAGTTGCTGCAGCTTTTTGATTGGATGCAGAAGCATGGAAAAGTAAATGTTGCATCATACAGCAGTTATATCAAGTTCATGGGGAAGAGCCATAATCCAGTAAAAGCTATAGAAGTCTACAATAGCATTCAAGATGAATCGACCAAAATAAATGTCTCTGTCTGCAATTCAATTCTTGGCTGTCTGATCAAGAATGGGAAATTTGAGAGTAGCATCAAGTTGTTCGATCAGATGAAGCAAAGTGGTCTACAGCCAGATGCCGTAACATATAGTTCTGTAAGCTACAGTAACTAATCTGATCAGTTTGTTTTGTATGATGACTCTTTACCTACAATAGAAAAATTTATTATAGGACTAAATTGAAAATTTTCTGTTTTGATTTATTCTCATACTTTTCCTTTTGGGTCCACCTTCATCACTATTGTCTATCGTCACTTTAGCTGCTTGCAGGTTGCATTAAAGTTAAACATGGCTTCTCAAAAGCGATGCAGCTAGTTCAGGAAATCAAATATAATGGTTTGCACACCGATGATGTAATATATGGAACACTTATAGCCATTTGTGCTACAAACAATCGAATCAAAGAAGCAGAGGCCTATTTTGAGCAGATGAAATATGAAGGTTTTTCTCCTAATGTTTTCCATTATAGCTCTTTGCTTAATGCATATTCAGCGGATGGAAACTATATGAAGGCTGATGAGTTGGTCAAAGATATGAGATCTGAAGGGTTAGTACCAAACAAGGTTTGTTTTCATGTTCAACTGTCTTTTTTTTTGAGAACAGGTAAAGTTTAATGTCATTAATGAGAAAAGAAGATAAACATATACAACGAGCTTCTGTACACAGGGATTTACAAACACTGCCCATGCAGTATTATACCCTCCAATCCTGTTTTACAAAAAAGTTATGATGTACAAAAAAGAGATATAATTTCTGTCCTCAACCAACTTGTTTACAGAGAGCCAAGAACACATTTTGCCCACAATTTTCTTAAAAACTGAGTCAGTAGAGCTACTTTTGTTCTTGAATATTCTTGAAAAAGAGTTATAGATTTTGTCATTAACTGTTTATCTATTATTGTTCTCCAATTTCTTCTGGCACAAGTATATATACATATACATACATATATATGTGTGTGTGTGTGTATGATAGAAGAAATACAGTCCAACAATATCTTGATTATAAAAACAGAAAAATAAAGAAAGAAAGAAGGAAGAAGAAGCTGTTCAGGAGAAAGAAGGAGGAAGAAAAGGGAGGAGAGGAGAGCTGAATTGAACTTCTCTCTCTATCCCTTAATTACTTTATATATGCTGAAATAAAAAGGAGGGAAAATTACATGGGTGCCCCTAGTTAGGCGGCTGACCCAAGGCACACACACTCACATACATACACACACAAAGGTATTAAGGTCCATATAGGCAGCCCACAACAGCAGAAATAAAGAGAGAAAATAAATAAACAAAACTAAGGCCCATTGGCCCAATCTCTCTACTAAAATAATGGTTCTGTTTCAATCCCATGGTAAAAAGGGGGTATTAAAAGATCATTAATTTCTGTAAATCCATTAAGTTTCTTATTTATTTACTTTGTTTTTTTTTTCTATTTTACATTGACTAGCTGAGTTTATGTTGTGAAAATCCTTAAAGCTTCCATGACATCAGTTTGGACTCCCCCCTTGTGTAGGGCTTCAGGTGGGCTGAGGTTGTGCTTACATTTGGTGTTTTAAAATCAAAGATTGTCAAGGTTTCCTTGAGCCTGAGGCCAGAGGCACAAGGTGAAGTGCATTCCTGAACAAAGCGAGGTGCCACTTTTGCAAAAAATAAGAAAATATTAATATATAAGAAAATCCAAGTCTAAATTCTGAAAAAAATAAAATATTTCAAAATCTTAATAGCTTAATTGTTGTTTACCAAAAAAAAAATCTTAATTGTTTGGATCATTGCATCGTTATCATGAAGGTTGTTAAGCTCCCCTGATATTTTTGAGAAGCATTTATATTAATAGGAGGGAGAGGTTCCCTCAAAGAGAGAAAAGTTGTCTATCCTGATTAGTTTATCACATTGATTACTATAATAATGATATTTGATTACTATAGTAATGATATTTGATTCTGAGTATAAAAGATCTTCTCAAAATGGCTTCTGAGTAATTCATCAAAAAAAAAAATGGCTTCTGAGTATAAAAAACGAATGTTGAAAACAAAAAATTGCAGCTATGCTCAATTCTGTTCACAAGACCATTCAAGTATCAAAGTTGTCTATCCTGATTAGTTTATCACATTGATTACTATAGTAATGATATTTGATTCCCACAAACACCTTGAGGATGCTAGCCCACCGAGTTAGATATCTTCCACTTTATCATTCACAGATTCTTTGGTGTCAGACTTACCTTCAAATATTCTGTTGTGTTTGCACCAAACTGGCTAGCTTAATGCAAGTGGTACAAGGTTCCATAGGATATTGTGATGCTTACTAATGCCTTTTGTGGGCCAGGTGGATATTAGGATTGATTAATCTCGTGGGGCCACCCATTCCAAATAACTGCAACAGATGTAACCAGATGCTATAAGAAAACCTATAGTGGATCAGTACGTGTCAAACTGACTTCTCTTTGTCACCACACAAGCAACATTTATTATTGATCACCATTCCTTTAGAGTTTAGACAACGTATTGTCAATAGTAAGAAATTTATCCTTGATTGCAGTCCACAATGACACTTTAGAAGGTATTTTTAACTTTCCAAATCCATTTCCATGGGATATATTAGGGGTGTTCATTTGGTTGGCTCGATTTGGTTTGGAAATAGAACCTAACTGACATTTTGGTTAGGCCATTTTCATGAACCAAACCGAACCGAATATATATCAGTTTGGTTCGGTTTTAAATTGGTTAACTTGGTTATATAAAATATATATGTATGCTATGTTTTTATTAATAATTATTATTAAAATATATCAATGTTTATAATTAAAATGCATATTATGTATTGTTATTAATATAAATAGTGATATTAATGTTAATATTAATATTAATATTTATACTTAAAATATAAATATATGTATTTATTTTGGTTAATTTGGTTTTTGGTTCGATTCAGTTGAATTTTGTCTCAAACTGAACCAAAAACCAATATTTCTAAAATCATCAAACCGAATCAAACCAAAAACTGAATTAACCAATCCAAATTAGCTTATTCAGTTTGGTTCGGTTCGGTTTTCGGTTTGATAACCAAATCTGAAAACCCCTAGGATATATTTGCTACTCAAAACCATCAGCTTCTCATAAAATGATCTAACTAAAAGAGACTTGATTTATCACCAGTCCACCTTCTGTGATCTAGAAGAGATAGCTGGAGAAGTAATTTGATTGATATCCTCCAACATAGATAGTAAATCATTGGCATCCCAATGAGCCAGATTCCTCCTTAATCTTGGAGACTAGACAATTTGGTCCCTGACAATATCATAGCAATCTTTTATTGTTGCATCCTTATCCTGTGTGAATGAAACATGTTGAGATAAGGGACACACAATAACCTTCTCCCATATCGAATATCCTTTCAGAAGTAGATCTGTTCACCATTTCTAGGTTTGAAGTAAACTGTGATAACATATATCTATTTTTTATGATGGCTTTCCAGATGTTTGAACTGAAGGACTAGGATCCTTGTATGATCCCGTTTCTTTTACTTGTTATATGTCCTTGATGCTTTACTATTAGCTGTTTTTTCGCTTGTCAAGCTTTGTGGTTATAGCACCTCTGATCTCCAAATTACTGCAAATTCCTGCAGGTTATTCTGACTACCTTACTAAAGGTCTATGTAAGAGGTGGTTTGTTTGAAAAATCAAGAGAATTACTCGTTAAGCTGGATTCTCTTGGATATGCTGGGGATGAGGTATATTTAAATTCTTTCTTTGAGTATAGAAAAAAAAATCTGGGCTTTTCACTCTTATTGTAGTTCCATTTTCTATGGAGTTATATTTATGAGCCAAGTGTTTGTGAAATGTTTTTGTCAAAATCAAAACAGACTGCAATTTCTGGATTCAGGTCATAAGATTGTACTTTGTAGGGTTTACAAGTCTTTTCTGTTGAAACTAATGAAAAAAAAAGGAAAAATCTCCTGGTCCTCCGTAAATAAAAAAAAAACAGAAAAAAAGAAGAAGATGATATGAATGGTTCATTCTCAGATATTCTATTATCAATTAGTGCCTTGGTTTCATGACTTAATATCTCATTTAAATAGACGCGAAAGTTAAGGGATGAGGAAATCCAGTGTTTGTCTAATTTTCTTTGTCTCCTTGAAAAGATTTGGTTGGACCCCTCAAAGCCAGATAAGAGGATTTGGGCCCCTCATCCAAAAGAGTTTTTTTCCTGTGGTTCCTTTCATAAGTCACTTTGCAACTCGCCCTCTCAACAGGTTTTCCCTTTCAAAGAAGTTTTTTTGTAGGCCAGTTCCCCCTAAGGTTATGGCTTTATGTTGGGAAGTGTACCATGGGAAAGTTAACACTATGGATAACCTACAAAAGAGAAGACCCTTTCTTTGTATCTCACCTAACTGGTGTACTCTTTGCAGATCACATGGTGAGGACTGTTACCATTTATTTTTATCTTGTAGTGTCACTGCAGAGCTTTGGGTTTGGCTTTTCTCCTTGTTTGGGTGCAGGTGGGAGATGCCAGCAGAAGTAAGCATGTTGTTTAACCCGTTTACTCTCTCTTGGCCCCATAAAAGAGGAAGAAGAATGTAGAGGTGTGCGAGAGCTGCTTTGATATGGACAGTTTGGGAAGAAAGGAACACAAGAATCTTCCAAGAGAAGGGGAGCAGCAGCCAGGCTCTAAAAGACTGCATTTTGAATAGGGCAATACAGTGGTTAAAGACTATGGAACTGTTTCACCAATTTTGCAGTAGCAAGTTATTCATCCTCAAAGGAAAGGGTCTCTACAAACTGCTCCCCCCCCCCCCCCTCCTCAAGGTTTTCTGAAGCTGAATTTTGATGGGAGTAGCCAGGGCAACCCGGAGCCCTCTGGGATGGGAGGTGTCTTGCCAGAATTGCTAGCTGCTATGCAAGGGGTCCTCCTTGCAAAAGAATTGGGTGTGGAGTAGTTGCTGATTGAAGGGGACTCTAAGGTAGTGGTGGAGTGGTTAAATAATCCGGAGAATGTTGTGTGGGGTCACAAGAATGAGCTAAAGAAATACAAATGGTTGACAAGGAATATGACTGTTACAGTACAGTGGGTGAGGAGATCAGCTAATGCCTTGGCTGATAGCTTGGCAAAACAGGGCACAACTCAGGAAACACTATTTTGGGCTGAGCTGTAATTGTGTTTTAGTACACATGTACATTTTGCTTTAGATTCTGTGTTTTAAGATTTTATTTGCTTCATGTTTGGAGAGGCGACATCTTGCACCTTCCCAAGGGACTGATTATGTAATTTGTTTCTGATTTAATGCAAATATGATATTTTATCTATCAAAAAAATTATTTTAATATTGTCTACACTGAAGTCACCAGATCTAAGATCAATGTTGGTTCATCTCTTTTTGGTGTTATTATGCTGTTTTTTTATCAATAACTGTAACATTCATTAAAAGTAAAATAACAGTAAATACAAAGAGTACAAAAGTACTTGGAAATAAAAGAGCTTATCTCCAAAACCTATGAGTTTACAACTGAGCCCAGATAGATGATCTCTCCTAACCCCTTGTTTTGCCAAAGAATCAGACATGCTGTGTGCCATTCTTTGCACCCATTGTATTTTAACATCCATATCCCTAGTTATTATGTTTGTTGTTGTTGTTTTCCTGGTCTGGATGTTTCGATCATTCTTTCTAACCTTCTACATCCCCAAATCCACCAATGCATTTTATGGTCAAGCAATTGCCTCTTATCTTTTCCGTTTGAAGATGGCATTTCCTCCATGTCAGAATCTCCTTTTTTCTTTCATCTTGGAAATGGAGTTTTTTTTTTTTTTTTTTTTTTTTGAGATAATGGGCCAAATGGGCCTTAGTTTCTTTGTTTTTCTTAAGTTATGTTTATGACTTGTGTTAGTAGGTAGTGGGCCTTAGTTATGGGCCTGTTTTCTCTTGTTTTTATTGTTTTTTATTGCTGTCTTTAGTGATGGACGCCCTACTAAGGGCACTCATGTAATTGTCCTTATGTTTTACAACAAAAGAATAAAAGAGATCATTGGGGGGCTGAAGGGAGGTTTTCAACTACTCTTTCTTCTTCTTCCATCTTCTTCCCCCATCACTTCTCTCTCTCTCTCTCTCTCTCTCTCTCTCTCTCTTCAATCTCCTTCTTTTCGCCTGTTTTTTTTCTTTGAATTCAGATTATTGCAGGTGTGATTTACAACTTGGTATCAGAGCATGTTTTCACCTTCTTTTCTTTCTTCTCTCTTTGCCTATACACGGTGTGTATGGAGAAGTGATTGGCTGATTAGAGAGTAGCTTATGTAGCCTAGTTGGGAGGGTTATTGGAGAGGTTTTGTGAAGTTTTTCATCCCCAAGCCCAAGGCAAGTTCTTAGAGTTTTTTTTTTTTCTTGAAAACCCTAGACAATTGGAGAAAACTAGTTATAGGTCCTAGAGACACTTTGAAGCTGGCGCTTGGGGATCAAAGGGTAGCCTTTTGATTTTCATTATGGGCGATTTGAGTTGTATAGGGTTTTGGAACCTTTGGTAGGAGCAATTGAAACTTTTTCCTATTTTCTCATTCGAGCAGGTCTTGTGAAAATCTAGATTTGGTTGTTTGAAGAGTTTTTTTTTTTTTTTTGCTTGGGATAGCAATTCTAGCTTAGTTGAGACTTATTTTGATCTTTGTTTCATTCAATGGAGCAAATTAGAGGAGAAACGAAATATCCCATAGATTCTGGGTTGGACATAAGGGGTCAATGGAGAATCTTTTTGGAGCAATGACCACTATGAAGCTATATGGGACCAATTATTTAGTCTGGTCTCAGTCTATTAAGATATATGTGTGTAGTAGAGGGAAATGGGGTTACATCACCTAGAGCAAGAAGAAACCGGGCAAGGATGACTTTACCTATGAGTGGTGGATATAGGAGAATTACACTGTAGTGGGTTCGTTAGTGAATTCTATGCAGCCACATGTTACCCAACACTACTTTTGGATGGAAACTACAAAAGAGGTGTGGGATAGTGTCATGGAGGCTTATTCCCAAAAATTGAATGTTGCCCGGGCTTACAAATTGAAGAATGATGTGAATAATCTAAAACAGGGGGAGAAACCCTTATCTATTTACTTCTCCATGCTAAAATCTCTTTGGTAGGAGATTAATTTGATGGAGACTATGGTTTGGGGGTGTATAAAAGATGTTGAAACACATAGGAAGTTGGTGGAAAGAAATTGGGGTTTTGAGTCTCTTATCGGACTCAACCCAAAGTATGATATTGCGAGACATAATGTTTTGGCAAAGGATGAGGTGACTTTATCTCGGGCTTATTCTATGGTCAGTAGTGAAGAGAGCAGGAGATAGGTTCAGTTTGTAGAGCCACAAATGGATCACTATGCTAATGTTGGGATGAAGCCGAAGGTCAGCACTAGGAAGAAAGATGTTGTTTGTGAATACTATAAGAAGCCTAAACATACTAAAGCACCTATTGGAAGTTGCATCCAAAGCTTATACCTGCCAGACTCAAGAATGCAAACAATGGAAAAGGAATGGGAACAGGAAGGGTGGAAATGCAAATGTAACCACCTCCCCACAGAGCGAACAAGGGCATAGTGGTGAGAAGTCAATGGGAGAGTAACTAGCAGCCACCAGGGCTGAATGTGAGAAGTATGACCGAATAATTAGTCACCTAGAGTCTACTGTTGCAGCACCTACTTCATTAGAGACAGTTCCCTCTTCATCTGCATATGCCCATTCGGGTATTCATGCTACTGCGAATCATGCTTCTATCTCAAGTAATCGTAGGATCCCTTGGATAATTGATTCTGGTGCCTCTGACCATATAGCTAGTTCGTCCCATTTATTTTCTACTTACCAACTTTTATCTGGCCGAGATAAGATCACCCTTGCTGATGGCTCTCTTGCTCCTACCTCTAGCAAGGGAAACATTAGAGCTTCAGACACCCTCACCTTATCCTCAGTCCTTCATGTTCCAAAATTAAATACTAATTTGCTTTCAGTTAGTAATTTGACAAAATCTTTGAATTGCAGTGTGACCTTTTCCCCTTCTTATTGTGTTTTTCTAGACATGGACTCTCAGAAGGTGAGTGAGAGTGGTCATGAGGTGAATGGGATATTTCTTTCAATTCAGATTATTGCAGGTGTGATTTACAACTTTTTTCATCCCTTCTCAATATAACAAATAGTGAAGCACATCTTCCACCTCGCAAGGTGCCAACCAGCTGGTTGGTAAGGTCTCCTAGTGGTCGTAGCGGAGACTTGGGATCGAATCCCACTTGCACCTGGGTTGGGGGATGGGCTATCCCCCATTGTGTAGCCCTTTCAGAAGATATAAAAAATAAATAAAAAAATAAAAAACACATCTTCCACCTCATACTCTCTGCTTGAAACTAATGTATCCAATCTCTCCTCCCTCTTAGTCTTGTCCCTTTTGTCAAGCCTTCTAAAAAATACAAGTTTGTTCATCTTCTCCTATTAAGAAAATCCTATTTTTCTTGACCAATTAAAAAAAAATCTTGTTATTCTTGCTAAGCTCAGCAGTCTTCTCTATGTCATTTGAGTCCACCATCTTGTCCACCTTCCCTTTATAGACTCTTTTTTGGTGTCAAAATGGACCAGAAACAATTATAAATTCTGTTACAAAGACAAGCCAATAAAGATGCTTAAATATTGCCTTAGACTTGAAAAATGATTGAAATAACCACTACTAATCCAACTACAACTAAATAAAAAAAACAATTTCAAGATATACCAGAAAATATAAGTACCCAAATCCCATGACAATGGCTATAATTGGATTCACAAGATCTTCATCTCTTTAGATAGGTAACTGGAAAACCTATCTAGTAAAATCAAAATCAAACCAAGAGAATGAATTTCCACTTTTTTTTTAAACTGTGAACAACGGAATTTATCAATAAGTTAAAAAAGAATTTTATGCAGCGATCTTGTATGCCAACCCTATATAGTTGGGTTAAGGTTTGGATGATGATGATGCAGTGATCTTGTGTATTGCACCCTTTTTGCTGGTTAGTTTCCACCTCTCAAATTTAGGCTGTAAAAAAATTATGAACCTGTAACTTTAACTTTTTTAGAAGTTTAATAACTTTCTTATAAAAACTCTACAAACTATTTGATCCTTTACACTTATTCCTACTGTACCCATAAGATAGGAAAACTCCTAAACATCTAAAAATGACTTAAATTAGAAAAAACCTAATAAATAGTCATGAAATTGTCACTGGATAAGAATTCGAGAGAAAACTGACTTTTACTCCATGTATTCTTTTGCTACTACAATGATTGAATCATTGTACTAGTGAAATGCTTAGCTCATATTTTCTCAAAAGGAATGTCTATATCATTGGTTTCTAAGTCCATACTAGTTTGCTTTGTTTCTTTTCAGGTGTTGTTTTCTCTTGGTTGGGTCTTTTTCTTTAGGGGTCCTTATTTTCCCTTTATAAAATCTCTCTTGGTCACTAATACAAGTATTGGTATAGACAAAAGAGGAATATGCATGTTGTATTCCAAATTGTTTCTTTTTTCTTATAATGGTACTCACAAATTATATCACATGCATCCTGAACCAGTGGTTTTCTTAGGTAATATTGTTTTATATTGGCTGAGGTGCCTGGTGGCTGAACAACCTACTGAGTTTCTTGTTCTGATGTGTTAGTCACACATAAGAATCATTTTAAATATAATGGTCTATGGCCAAAGCTAATAATACACTTAGCTTATATTTACTAATATCTGTTTTCTGTAAGATTGATTAAGGGAAACCTCCTTTTTCTTCTATTGTATCTTTCCTGTAATATCTGTTCTTATCTAACCAAATATGAATTAACATGTAGATGCCTTACTGTTTATTAATGGATGGCCTTGCAAAGGCTGGACATATAGATGAAGCTATATTAGTTTTTGACGAAATGAGGAAAAAAGAAGTGAAATCAGGTAACATATGCTGTCTTGTGCTTTTCTGGACAAATATCAATAACCTCCTTTTACTTTTTACTAAATTTTGGACTTTCAAACTTTGATGGATTTTTTGACTTCCAAACTTCTCAACTACTAACAGCAGCAATGGGCTACTGGGCTAGAATAAATATGTTATTTGTGATTAAGATGATAACCCTTTACTGGCCATGTTTTACCACATTCTTTCATCCATATAGTAGAGACTAGAGGACAAAAGGCCACTATCCAGTCTTGGTCGTGTGGACTGGATACAGACCCAACCTATGCCATGTTTTGCACAAAGTAGTTGCTGTCAGGCTCGAATCCACATTCTCATGATATGAAAAGGGATTGTTTTGAAAATTAGATTTCAAAAGGACTTATTTACAGCTACTCCCACTTGTGGCCTTGGATATGGCTACACCCTCCTCATCTGACTTCTGGGAGAGAATAATCCCTCTGCTACTAGAAAGTTGACTGTTTTGCCTAAGCAGAATTCCTGTATAATAATAATTTGTTACCTTTTGCACTATATATTTGCCTTTTAGCACTGCTTTTAATTATTCAATTCAGATCAAACTGCTAAGTTTGCGAGACTATATAAGCATAACATGATTTCAGTTACTATGCTCCTTTTTCTGATACAAAGTGCATCTTCTTGTGTTGCAACACTTGCTGCTTGATGTGTGTTGATTATGCACATTAGGAGTGTGATGACTATTGACTACCTAGTTACTATAATTATTTTTTATCATTTTGCGTGCAGAGGGTTATTCCCATAGCATCATGATTTCAGCATTTTGTCGAGTTGGACAACTTAAGGAAGCCAAACAGCTTGCAAGGGACTATGAAGCCAGATATGATAAATATGACTTGGTTATGTCAAATACCTTGCTACGTGCATTCTGCAGAGCAGGTGAGATGGAGAGTGTAATGCAGATATTGCGAAAAATGGATGAATTGAGAATATCTCCTGATTGGAATACTTTTCACATCCTAATCAAGTATTTCTGTAAGGAGAAGCTCTACCACCTTGCGTATCGGACAATGGAGGATATGCACAGTAAAGGTCATCAACCAGATGAGGTATTTATCCTGTTTTATCTCCATATATAAAAAGTTAAACACTATTTTATCTTAATAATTCAAAATCAATGCCTTGGACAACATTATTTTCAAATCGGTGATGGATGTGCAATTTTTAAGGCACAAACTAGACGAATATTCTTTTGTATTAATAATATTCAAAGAATAAAAGATAGATGGATATATTAAATATATTATCAATAAATTATTAAAGTCTGGATAAAGTAAATTAACAAAATGTGGAGACATCATGGATATTCTTAAATAGTTTATGCCTGTGTTATTTAATAAAAAACACATTAAATAAGTCGTGATATATCAAATCAATACATTATTTTATCATAGACATTTCTGGATTATGCATATGAACTATATTTTATCTCCTGTATCTAGAAATGCTCAAAACTTAAGTAGATAATTTAACAATGATAACTTGTTAAATTAAAACTTATGGGGTTATTGCTTAGTTTGACTGTAAAATCTCAGGCCAGAAGCTGAGAGAGCGCAAGCTCAAGTCCGAGAGCAGCCACTAGCAAAATAAATAAATAAGTGTGGCCAAACATTAGGACCATATCCAGTCCACCCCTTCCAAGACCCCATATATCTGGGATCAATATTGAGTAATGATCTTTTTTTATCTGTTGCATTGGTATCTTTCTAACCTCAGGCAGCCTCAAGCTGCCATATATTTATGGGCTGTGTTTTCTTGGTAAAAACACAGTAAAATATCAGAATAGTGAGAGAAGAGAAGGGAGAAGGAAGAAGAGAGAAGAGAAGAAAGTTTTGGAATCAAGATCTATAGCTGGCGGTGCCAGCTTTTTGGTATTTATATTAGGGCAACCCACTCTAATAATAAAAGAGGAGAAAATTACATATGTGCCCCTATGACACTAACATAAAGAAAACTAATAGATTCATCACTCCCCCTCAAGTTGGGAGATAGATATCAATCATGCCCAACTTGTCACATAGGTCATTGTGCCGCAAGTGATGTAAGCCCTTTGTAAATATGTTTGCAAATTGCTCCTTAGAACTAACATATGGAGTACAATGTTGATGGCAGCCTTGTTATCACAATACAAGAACATGGGGCTATCAATTGGAAAACCCAATTTGCTTAATAGATTCTTTATCCACATAGCTTCAGCCACTCAATGACACATTTCTCTATACTCAGCTTCAGCACTAGACCTAACCACAAGGTCCACAACACTTTGTTTCTTGCTTCTCCATGTGGCTAGGTTTCCTCCCACTAACGTACAATACCCACTAGTGGACTTTCTGTCATTGACTAATTCGACCCAGTCAACATCTGTATATACTTTAACCTTCAAATGCCCATTCGTCTAGAATAGTAAACCAACTCCTGGAAACTTCTTTAGATACTTGATGATTCTCTCAATTGCCTCTAAGTGTGTGGTCTTAGAAGCATGCATGAACTATAAGAACACTCACGACATAAGCAATGTTTGTCCAGGTCATGGAAAAATACAAGAGCCTTCCCACAAGCTTTTGGAATTGCTTTACATCCTTGGTAATCTCACCACAATAGTCACCTAGTCTATGATTTGGATCTATGGGAGTCTGCTGGCTTAACCCCTAGTTTTCTTGAATCCTGTAACAGATATGGGATGTATTTCCTTTGAGAAATGAAGATCCCCTTTTATGAGCGGGCCACTTCAATTCCAAGAAAATACCGTAAGGGACCTAGATCCTTCACCTCAAATTGAGTGGCTAAGAGGTCCTTTAGCCTTCGAATTTCAACTTTCCAGTCACCTGTGATCACTATACCATTATGTAGAGAGACTGAGCCGAATGGGCCCTAGTATCTTTTCTTGTAGTATGTTATTTATTTATTTGTTAGCTAAAGAGCCTATCTTTATGGGCCTATTATTTCTTTTTTGTTAGTTCTTTTTATGTTGCTGCCTAGCTGGCTGCCCACTTAAGGGTATACTTGTAATTAACCTAAGATTGAAGTTAAACAGAAGGATTAGAGAAGGGAGGAAAGAGATATTCGAACTCTTCCTCTTCTTCCTTTTCTTTTCTCCATCTTCTTCCTTTGTGCTGCTGTTCTCTATTTTTCTTTCTTCTTTTTCTCTAAATTTTACCAAGTTTATATCACTTTTACAGGACTGATTTACATCTTGGTATCAGAGCAGGTTTCTTCTTCCTTCTTTTTCTTTCTCTTTTTCCCATACACCTCTCGATTAAGAGAATGTATGGAGAGATAGGTTCTCTATAGTTCAGAGGACCTTTTGCCTAGTTGATAGAGGGTTTGGAGAGTTGTATTCTGGCCAGAAACTGCCACGAAGTGATGCTGTACTGTTTCTGCCCAAAACCCTAGCCGATTAGCGATTTTCGAAGTTACAGATAAAAGTGAAGCATTGGGTGTGGTGCTCTGTGCTTGGGAGGTGCCTTTTGACTTCTAAAAGAGGGCAGTTCAGTTTTGGAAGAGATTGGGAAGCTCTGATAGGAGTGGTTGCATCTTCTCTCTTTCTCCTCGATAGTCGGGCGTAGTGAAACCCTAGTTTTCAAGCATTTGGGTACTGATTTGACTTCAAGTAAGTTTATAAAGATCAGATTTCTAGTTTTTTTATTTTCGTTTGATTAATGGAGCAATACGGAAGTGAGTTTAAGCAGGTGCCTATTTCCAGGCTTGGCTCGGTAGATTCCGTTTTGACCGGTGTGACCAGAATTAAGCTAGATGGAACCAATTATCTTGCTTGGGTATAGTCTATAAGGATTTATGTCTGTAGTAGAGGAAAATTAGGGTATCTCACAAGTAGTAAGGTGAAACCCGAAGAGACAGGCCCTGAATTTGAGAAATGGATGCAGGAGAACTATACGATCATAGGATGGTTGGTCAACTCTATGCAGCCTCATATCAGTCAGCACTATCTCTAGATGTCCTCATCTAAGGAGATCTGGGACAGTGTTACTGAAACCTATTCACAATAGTTGAATATGGCTAGAGTCTACAAGCTGAAAAGTGATGTGAAGAACCTAAGACAGGGGGGGGAAGAGAGTGGCAATCTACTATTCTATGTTGAAATCCCTATGGCAAGAAATTGATGTATTGGAGACAGTTGTATGGTAGAGTACGAAGGATGTAGAAACTTTTAGGAAGTTGGTGGAAGAAACAGGGTCTTTGAGTTTCTTACAGTACTCAACCTTGAGTTTGATATCATTAGGCAGAATATTCTGGCCAAAGATGAGGTTACTCTTGCCCAGGCATATGCTATGGTAAGCAATGAGGAGGGTAGGTGGCAGGTTCAATTACAGAGTCCACCTACGGAACACTTTGCACATGATGGAATAAAGCCGAAGTGTCCAATTGAGAAGAAGGAGCAGGTATGTGAATATTGCAAGAAACCGAGGCATACTAAGGACACTTGCTGGAAGCTTCATCCTGATCTTCTACCTGACCAGTTTAAGAATAACAACAATTTTAAGAAGACCAGTCAAACAGGAAAGCCCAAGTCAGCTAATCTTGCCACAGTACCTAAGGGAGGAAGTAAGGAGAGTGAAGAGAAGTCAACCATGGAACAATTGGCAGCAATGAAGGCAGATTTTGAAAAATATGGAAGGTTGTTAAATCACTTGGAAGCTATTGTTTCTACATCTCACTCTTCAGGCGACACATCATCATCATCATCATCAGCATTTTCTCACTTAGGTATTTGTGCTTCTGCAAAACATGCTTCAGTTTCAGGTAATCATAAAATCCCTTGGATCATTGATTCTGGTGCATCAGACCATATGACCAGCTTGTCTAATCTTTTTTGTTCATACCACCTCCTCTCTGGTAGAGAGAAAATCTCCCTTGTTGATGGGTCTCCTGCTCCCATTTCTGGCAAGGGGGATATCAAGACCTCTGACACCCTTTATTTATCCTCTGTCCTTAATGTTCCTAAACTTAATATAAATCTTTTATCTGTTAGCAGCTTAACTAAATCCATGAATTGTAGCATAACCTTCTTTCACACTCATTGTGTTTTTCAGGACCTGCAATCTCAAAGGATGATTGGGAGTGGCCATGAGGTGAATGGAATATACTTGCTGGACACACCTGATAGAGTCTTAGACCACCTCATGGAGTTGCCTTGGAGTCAGTTTTGTCAGAGTTTGTTGACAAAGTCATGTTATGTCACTTTTGGTTTGGTCATTTGTCTTTTTTTGCTTTGAGTCATTTGTTCTTAGATATGTCTAAGAGGGGCCTTATACAAGGAGACCCTATATCCCCTTTCCTTTTCACCTTGGTAGTAGATGATATTTTAAGTGTCTTGATTTCCAAGGCTACCTCAAGGAATTTAATCAGAGGTTGGAGTGTTGGGAGGCAAGAAGTAATTGTCACTCACTTACAATTTGCAGATGACATAATACTTCTTTATGAAGGGGATCCAAAGGAGATGGATAATTTGAGATTGTTAGTGATACATTTTGAGAGGGTCTCGAATTTGAAAATCAATTGGAGTAAGAGTTGTGTGGCAGGAGTAAATAGGTAGGAAGAAGAGGTGTTTTTTTGTGGCTAGATCTTTAGGTTGTGAGCTAAGCGGTTGGTCTATGGTTTACTTGTGCTTGCCTTTGGGGGAAATCCTAGGTCAAGAAGCTTCTAGTACCCAGTTTTGGAAAGATTCGCAAAGACGTTAGTTGGGTAGAATAGAAATTACATCTGACTAGGGGGTAGAATTACTTTAATCAAGTATACTTTGGCCAACCTGTCGGTGTGTTTCTTGTCCACCTTCAAACTACATGTTAAGGTTGCAAATGAGATTTTAAAGCTTATGGGAGATTTTCTTTGGGAACTAGGAGACTCAAGAAAAGGACCATCTAGTGAAGTGGGAAGTAGTTTCTAGGAAAAGGCAACATGTGGGCTTAAGCATTTGGTAATATTAGGTTAATAAACTTAACCTTGTTAGGGAAGTAGTTATGGAGATTTCCCCTGGAGTAGGGAAGTTTGTGGCACATGGTAGTAGTAAGTATTCACAGAATGGTAGCAAATGGATGGGATGCTGGTCTGAACCCTAGGGCTTCTCACTTCTCCCCTTGGAAAGCCATTGTTGGAGTCCTACCTGCCTTTCGACCTTTCATCAGGTATGATGCTTGCTTGGGTAACAAAATTCTGTTTTGGGAGGATATTTGGATTGGGAATTTTCTCCTTAAGGATAGGTTCCTAGTTATGTATTCCCTTTCTTTAAATAAATTCAAGGTCATCTCCTCCTTTCGTGTTTCTGAGGGTTCTTGGGATTTGTGCCTGAGGAGAGGGTTGAGGGACTCAAAAGTGGGTTTTGTAGACAGGTTGTTCTCTCTTTTAAGTTAAGTTATCTTAGATCAGTCTTGCTTGAATAATAGAATTTGGTAAGAGTCCTCAGGTTTCTTCTGTTTCTCTTTGTTATTCAATGCTTTACTCCAATTTGCTAATGTGCTAGTTTATTTTCTTGCTAATGAAGTGTGGTGTACTCTTGTTCCACCAAAGGTTAGGGCTTTCTACTCGGAAATGATTCTCGAAAAGATCAATACTATGGACATGCTTCAAGGAAAAAGGCCAAATTGTGCCTTTTCCCACATGTTTGTAGCCTTTTCTTGAGGAGTGGTGAGGCAGTGACTCATCACTTAATTTCCTATCCTTTTGTTTCTTTTGTTTGGGAATGGTTCTCCTCTCTCTTTGGTTGCACGTAGAATCTTCCATCATGTGTGGTGAACCTTTTTCGACCTTTTAATAACCAAAGAAGAGGGGTAGGGTGATGTGGATAACAACAAGAGCTGCTGTCCTATGATCGATTTGTGAAGAAAGAAATAACAGGATCTTCTAAGGGCAAGAAAAATCCAATAAGCACTTGTCGAGGGCATTACCATCAAGATCATTCATTGGCTGAAGGCTTTGGGTCTTTTCAATGACTTCTCTTATGTTGATTTTATTAGAGGTTGGAGTGTTGTAGTTGTTTCCTCTTCATAGGGAAGCCAAGTCATTCAGGAATCGGAGGTGTCTTCAGATGAGGAAGAGTGCTGGCCCTTTACTCGGGCCCAATTGGGGTGGGAGGTTTTTAACGGGCAGAAATAAAGGCCTTACTTCAAGGTCTCAGAGTGGCAAAACAATGGGGTTTGCAACAGTTAGAAGTGGAAGGAGACTCCAAGCTGGTCATAGGTTAGATGCAAATAGGAAGCTTGGGAACGTGGTCCTTCAGACAACCTCTAAGAGAATTTATGTGCTTAGAAGGGAGCTTGGAGTGCAGTTTAGATGGACTAGAAGGTCAGCAAATGGACTGATGCTTTGGCTAAGCAAGGAGTCAATAGGGAGACCATGTTTTGGGCTTGTTTGTAAGACTGCTTATTTTTTAGGCTTCTCCATCCATTCTTTGGGTGGTCACAGTTATACTCTTTTTTTTTTTAATCTAATCAATGAAAGTTACCATTTCTTGTAAAAAAATGGAATTGCAATAATGTCCTTGGAGATTATAATACATAAACAAATGCAAGGATTGCTTGCAACGTTGCAATTCTTATTCAATCTGGCCCCTTTGATTGATTAATAGGATTCCTCTATATGTTTTTTCTCTTCTAATTATAAAATTTATCTTACTAGAGTTTAATTGGAAATACCTAATCCAAAAGTTTCCAAGATGGGGACTTGGAGACAATTTTACGTCATTTTGGAGGTCCAAGCCATTGCTTATTCTGTGAGCATTCCATTTTCTTATGTGCCAAGGTTGAGAAAACAACATGGGAGATGAGTTATCTGAGGATCCCATTTGTAGGATTCTTTTGGTGCTATAATCCTTGTGTAGTGTGGTGGTTTTCTTCACATTTTCCTCTCATCTTCCTTCTCTTGTCTTTATATTAAAGTTTTCATTGTCAACTAAGAAGAATAAAAAAGAAGAAACAACTACGAAAGCCTGACATTTTCTACCTTTTTCAGGAATTGTGTTCATCCTTAATTTTACATTTGGGAAAAGTTGGTGCTGCATCAGAAGCGCTTTCTGTTTACAACATGTTGAGGTATAGCAAGAGAACAATGTGTAAAGCTCTTCATGGGAAGGTTTTGGACATCTTAGTAGCAGGAGGGCTTCTTAAAGATGCCTATGTTGTAGCAAAGGTACACAAGTCATGTTTTGCTGAGAATTCTCCTCTAGGTTACATAGTCTTTCTTTTCTATTTTTGTTTTGACATTAGTGTCATCTTTTGGCTATTATCCTGCCAGTGATGGATTATCACTTCTCACATATGTTACCTGGCCAGGACAATTCAAGGTTCATCTCTCAGGCAACTTTAAAGAAGTTTGCTGTGGCATTTATGAAATCGGGTAATATTAACTTGATAAATGATGTTGTGAAAGCTGTGCACAGTTCTGGGCACAAAATTGACCAGGTATGGTTTAGGTCTTCTTTTTGGTAACAAAGTTTTAACTGAAACATTCTTTTTTCTTTTATTCTTGTGACTTTACATCTAACATTATCAAAGAAGTACAAAGAAGTTGGGGCTTTGAATAAAAAATATGGAAAAGTACAATGCAGCCCACTGCAGAATTCTGAATTCCACTGCAGACCTACAACAATTCAAAATGTCAAGCACCCCCACCCTAAACACCAATACCCGCCCGTGTATTGGCATCAATTCTGAGCTGGCACCTTCCCCAACTGTACAGTGGGACTAAGGATTCTGACAGTGGGCTGAACAGTCATTCTCCCAAATAAGGAAAAGTACACTGCAGCCCACTGCAGAATTCTGAATTCCACTGAAGCAAAGGCTTAATGTACATCCTGCACCCCACTCTACACCTTCCCCACCCAACCAAAAAAGGGGAAAATAATAGAATAAGGGAGAGAAAACACAGTGTGTATTGGGAAGTGAATGAAATAAACTATTCTACATCCAGATTTAAGATGTGCGCATTGCTTGATAAGTCCATTCATGTGCTCTAAGTGCTTCAAACAGAGAGCTGTTAATTGTTTTGTTCAAACTAGTTAATTTCTTGGGTTTGTTTCTCATCTTCTCCACATCAACCATTGTTTCCTCATCATTTTGGAACTTCTCACCCCAGTGAATAAACTTGTTAATCGGTTTTCTCTCTCTTTCCTGTGAACAAAGAGAGGTTTGATTCAATTACTCAGTTAAGGAGCCACAGTTATATTAGCAAATCTGTAATTGAAACATGTCACTCTTTAGCCTTCCATGAACTATTTTTTATCTGAATCTCCAGATAACGCACACTCCAGGATATATATATATATATACAATTACATAATACATGCATACATAAATGTGTACATTTACCATTTCAAAGTTAGACTTCAGTCATCTGTATTGTCGCAGGAGGTCTTCCAGAAAGCTATATTGCGCTATATAGGGCAACCTGAAAAGAAGGAGCTGCTCTTAAGGTTGCTGCAATGGATGCCAGGTCAAGGTTATGTTGTGGATTCATCTTCAAGAAACCTAATCCTGAAAAACTCGCATCTATTTGGGCGTCAACTTATTGCGGAGATACTATCTAAACAGCACAAGGTGGCAAAATTATCAAGAACTAAGGCATGAAGAATAAGTGAATTTGGTAGTGAAAGAATAGAAATTGTGCCCAGCTTTGGTAGATTATGGAGGGTTTGATAATGACATAGTTTCTTCTAAGTTCCACATCTAATCAACTAAGCATTCAGCATTTATGATTCTATCATTCCTGATCTGCTATAACTTGAACAGACGATTCAATGTACAGAGTGCTTGATAATGTGATCATTTGAGTCTCAAGTTCTACCATCTAAACGTGGTTCAGAGTGATTGAATTGTGTAGTACATGTAAAATGATCATGGTTCAGAAAGTTTCAGCATTTACTAAATGAAAATTCTGTTTCAATTCTCAAATGCCCTGTTCAAATAAATTTAACTATTTTTTATTATGATTTTGGGGTGTTTTAAGGGCTTTTTTTTTTCTTGTCGATGATATCTTAATCACCTTTCTTGTGATGTGCTTTATCTCTTTAATAATTTTTATAGCTAACAATAACACGCCATAGGCACGGACCACGGACTGATGGCCTTGGACTAATTGTTAAATCAGTTTTGCAGGGCCAGGGAAGATGTCCACCAATCCAATTTAGCCTACTGGGATTTTACAATGGCTATTTTTTTCTTTGTTTTTTGAAAAGGGTTTTCTTTTTGCCCTTATATATAGGGTTTTTCTGCTTGATCAAACTAAACTACTTAAAATCAAGCCAGAGCACTAAATTTGGGGGTGAGACAGATAATCCGGAAGAAAGGAATAAAAAAAAAAATAGGATCCGTTTGGAAGGGCTGTTATGAAGATTCAGCTAAGCTGATTCAACTGGTTAGAAAGTGTCCCGATGAGCTATTCAATGAGGTTGAAGCAAATAACCCTTCAAATGACTAATTGACGGCCAATTTTGGGTATTCAGATTTTTCACCAAACATAGCTTATAGGCTGTCCATGTGGGGTGATATGATATCCAACCTGGTTGGCTGTTTCCCACGGTCTTGCGAAAGAATTTTATTCAGAACGACATGGGAAAAAAAGAGTTGCACATAGGGGTGATGTTGAGTGTCCTTTGTTCAGTGAACTAGTAGAAAGAACACTGAACTCAAGTTTTCAGTTCAGTGAATTCAGTTCCACATCTCTTTTGATGATGTTGAGTGTCCTTTGTTCCATTAAACACTATCAAGTTCAGATTTTTTAACTTCAACATGAACTAACACAAGTGTTTGCTGATTGGTAAATCGGTGGTTTATTTTCGTCCGTGGAGATCGAGGCCTCAAACTCCAAGAGGAGGAAGCAATGATCTTTGATGATGTGAAAGCCTAACGAGATGCATGAATCTGAACACGTGGACGCATGGCCAAGGTCGGAGCCGTCTGGCAGGGTAGAGGTCGCGCCTAGCGCGGGACCAATGGCGTGACCAAACGCGGCAGGCCTGGATGATCGCCTGCCCAAGGCCGGATTGCATCCTGACCGTTCACATCCGTTCGCCTTCAAGCAACCTCAAGTATAAATAGGGCATGACTCCCCCAAGGTAAAGGCCCCCAGACTCTTATCTCTCCAAACTCCCTTGCTCTCTAGCTTTCTCGTGACCTTGTTTGAGCTCTTCGGACTCCATCCACCCTCTTTTCTATACCTTACTAACTTGACCGTTGGAGTCCCTGCCTTGGGTTAGCACCCGGGGCCTTTGACGTTCCTCTTTATTGCGGGACCGACTTCAGCCTCTCCCGATCTCAGAAACAGGCAGGCCCATAGTCACAGTGCACCTCGGGCTCCTCTAGCCCTTGGCCTCAGCACGTCCTCGGATCCATCCACTAGCTAGTTCGTCCAGGAAGCAGAACAAATTTATTGTGTTGTCATCGGCCAATCCGAGCATCAACAATTGGCGCTATCTGTGGGAATGACTGCTAAGCCTTTCCCCCAACACTACAACTCAGGTTCCAAAGGAATGGCAAGAAACAAGAAAACTACACAGAACTTGGTCACCAGGGACCAACTCCAAACAGTCCTCGACCGACTTGACCACCTCGCGCAGAGGCTGGATGAGATGGGGCAACTGGCAGGAGGCCGCCTGTAGGGCAACCGCCCCGCCTGAAACCTAGGGCATCGCCGTGTACGCCCTTCGCGGGCTCCACCGGCCAAGCACCTTGTCGGACCTTACTGAGCTGACCCCTCAACGTCCAGCGGAAGTGGCCAAAGTGTAAGTCAGCCACTAAGAACCCTCCAACCTCCTTGCTGACGGGAGAATGAATCAGTACGGTCTTGCAACTGACACCGAAGCCAAGGACACTACCGTCGACAAGAAATGCCACTTCCACCTTGCACCTCGGACCTCCAAGACTACCTCGACAACCAACGGGCCAAAAGGAACCGAGACACAGCTGGCCTGTCCCATTGCTGAGGAGGTCAGGACGAAGCTGAGGTAGCCGTCGGCCAGCAGATCACCAACTTGCAAGTGCAACTCGGCGTGGTGAAGGTTGAAATTCGGTAAGTCAAGGAGAGCCGAGGTGACACCTCGGCAAGTCAGTACCCCTCCACCAGGAGGGACACCTTCACCGCCACCATCACCTCAAAACCTCTTCCGCATCATTTCAAAGCTCTTGCACTGGAGACTTACGATGGCACCTCGGACCCAGACGAACACCTTGAGAGCTTTCGGGCACTCATGCTCCTATACGGGTATTCCGATGCATTGATGTGCTGAGCTTTCCTGGTGACCTTCAAGGGGGAAGCTCAGTGCTGGTTCTCCGAGCCCCCGCCTTGCTCCATCAGCTCATGGAACCAATTCGCCAACCTTTTCCTCACCCACTTCATCAGTAGTCGACGATGCCAGAAGAGCGTCGCCTCACTCATTGTCGTTTGACAATGACATGGTGAGAGCCTACGGTCCTACATTGACCTCTTCAAGAAATAAGAACTCAAGGTCCACGACCTTAACCCCTTGGTCTCCATGGATGTAGCAATCGAAGGCCTCCTCCCCGGTTTGGCCCTTAAGTGTTTTGTCGCCAAGACACCGCCCAGAACCAAGGTGAAATTTTTGAAAAAGGCACAGAAGTACATTGCTGCCGATGAAGCCTCGGTTGGTGATCACCAAGGTGGAGAGACCAACCGCGACCATGGTGACCACTGACATGAAGACAGTTGCGGTGACGACAACAACAAGAAGCTGTCGGCCTCATCCTACGACTAGTACACACCACTCAACTCCACCCGAGCACACATACTCATGCAAGTAGGAGGGGAGGAGTATATGAAGTGGCCTAGGAAGAGAAAGAGGAACCCAAAGAGGGGTGACCACCCCTAGCAAAATACTACGCATATCACCGCGGTGCCGGCCACGACACTGAGGACTGTTATGACCTCTAGGACAAGATCGAGTCCCTCATCCGCCGCGGATATCTAAAGTAGTACATTGACACTAACCTCATCACCTCACCCCAGTAGCAACGGTTGTAGTTAGTTGCTCATTATTGACACCTCGGCCTCGGGAATGCTCACCAGTTGGACCATGTAACCACAAGAGCTCGGCCTTGGCAGACCATGTAAACATTTTGTAATAAAACAAGTTTCTCTTACCTCGCCTCAAACCCTTAGCGTATACGTTCTTGTCTTGACTGAGTGACCTTCCGCAACTTACAACCTTTGTCGAGGTTACACGCTCGGATTGGACCTCGGTCCAAGGCACATGATCCTTGGAGGTCATATGCCTAGTCTCCAGGTCCCTCACCTCAGTCGACCAGCTGGCCGCGGTATACAATCTTCACCAAGGTTACATGTTCGGATCGAACGTTGACCCAAGGCATATGACCCTCTAGAGACCACATGCCCTTGGACGATTGACTGGCTGCAGCATACAACCTTCACCAAGGTTACATGCCCGGACCGGATGTCGGCCCAAGATATACGGCCTTCTGGAGGTCAAATGCCTACTCACCCCTTTTGACAGGGAGTCTAACGGACCTCAGTTGCAACTGACGGGGTTGCCCTTGATTTTTGCCTCAACTTCAGAGAGACCCTCCAAGCGAGCGAGTTATCATCCATGCTCGAGAGGTGGCATCGACCCTCTGCTTGGCACAATTTATGGCAGAACAGACATGTTGAAGGGAACAACGCCACCTCGCTTAGACCAAAGTGGTCCGCAGCACCGGCCGAGCTCCACGTAGCCTTGGTTGCGCATGGGTTTACGCACCCTGTCCCCCATGGGAAGGGCAGCCAGGAGAGCTATGGCATGTGCCTCCCTTTCCTTCTCGCTAAGGATAGGGGCCCCGTGTTTTCGGCGGCGAAGCTCGGCCTCGGCCTTGCCCACCTGGGTGCTTGAGTAGATGGGTTATTGAGCGATGAATCTTTGGAACTTGCAACCTCTCGGAAGGGGGCACCGACCCCTACATAGAAGAAATGCAACTGCAACAAAGGCACACGATACGCACGAACACCTCAGCTGTTGTAGACTCCTCCTCGGCAAACAGACCCTCGGACAGTCACACCTCCTCGGCAGGCACAAACACTTCATCACTTCGGGCGACAACCCCACCTTGGCAGCCCCTTTTGCCTACCTCTTGACGAACACACACCCTCCTCGTCTCGGGGTAGCGTCACCTCAGACGCTGACAGCTTTACGTCTGTCGCCCTCCTCGCGCAAAAGCAGCAAGCTGACGGCATGACAAGTAACCCATAGCGGAAGCGCAATCGTCAACAAAAGAGTCCTCTATGCAACAGAGCAAATATTCACCTCGGCCACCCTACGGCTGACCTGACCAGGGAGACAACTGAGCTATGAGCTTAGGCAACTAGCGAGGCGGGCTCACCTAACCATTCGCGCACCCCGCCCTCAAGGACGCCAATGTTGTGGCCATTGGAGCAGCTCGCCAAACTGTACGCCGCAATCCAAGCAAGCGAGCCCCAACCGTCGTGGAAATCTCGTAATTGACACCCTACACACCTCATTTTACGGAAACAGTACTGCTGGAAGCTCAGGAACATTACCAGAGTCCCCCTGAGCCCCCAAAAACCTATAAAAGGAGTAAGAATTCGCCTGGGGAGGTATGTGCACTGATATATTCAAGCTCTCTCACACTCTTGGAGTTTGAGGCCTTGATCTCTACGGCACACGATACGCACGAACACCTCAGCTGTTGTAGACTCCTCCTCGGCAAACAGACCCTCGGACGGTCACACCTCCTCGACAGGCACAAACACTTCATCACCTCGGGCGACAACCCCACCTTGGCAGCCCCCTTTGCCTACCTCTCGACGGACACACACCCTC